AGTGTGCCAGTCGACGACCAGCATTCGAGCATTAATCGGGCCATCTTATCACTGGCCCTGCCGATTACCCTTGCTTTCTCAAAGGTGCAAACGTGGTCCCGCTGCTGCACCTGGCCGTAGACCATAGAAAGCTCGTGCTTGCGGTTGATTGCGGACTGGTGCTCATGCAACCTCGTGCCAAGACGTTTGCCCGTTTCGCTCACATACCTTGCTTCACAATCTTGGTAAGAGATGCTATGGACCACCGCCGATTGTTTGGTCATTGGTAGCGGATCCTTGGGCTTTATAACCCGCTGTCTGATAGTTAGTGCCGTTTTGTGGACCATGTCAATCCTGAACGGTTTCAGTAGTCTTGCAGCCGCCTCTGAGACATTCTTCACATGAGGAATTCACAGCTAGAACTTCGGTTTCTCCTCGGTCGACACCTCAGAACGGGACTTCCTGAGACACCTGCTTGCGAAAGACTTCGGTTAACCATTGGCTTCGAATAGGGCATGTAGGCACTTCCTCCCCTCCTTCCTTCCATCGTAGTCCCTGCAGTGTGTTTGAGCGCATTGGAGGAGAGTCCTGACGCAACTGCGTTTGTGACCGACGGGGTGGTTACTTCTGAAGTGAATGAGGCGCGTAGTGTCGGTCGCCTTGCGGTATACCGTCGTCCTTATCTTCCCGTCTGGCAGCCTTGTGACTGGAACGTCGAGGAAGGGCAAACGATTGCTGACCTCCTCTTTCATTGTGAACTGTATGTCCGGAAAATGGAGTTTAGTAGTTTCCTGAAAGCCGGCACGTCGCTCCTTTTGATTACGACAAATTTGTCGTCAACATATCTGACGGTATTGTAGGGGTATCATGTAAGCCTCCCACGCTTTCGACCCGGGTTCAGATCCCGGTCGGCGCACAGTTTTTACGAGCGACGGTTTTTCTCCTAAAAACCACAAATGACATTCCATTTTGAATTATGAGCCATGCCTTGGGAGTTTTTTCACTGTCTGCTCTTCTTGCTTGGTTACACTTCTGGCTCGTGTTAACTGACTTTACCACATGTGGGTGTATTACTTGAAAAAAGCGAGTTGTCGCCTAGAATTTTGTAAACGACTTCTTTGAAATGTTCGGCTGTGCCGATGCATTTCTTAAATACTATGTACCAATAGGAAGTTCAGAGGCGTTTGCCTATATTTCCTTTAATAAACTTGACTTGACTTGACCCAGAATTTTGGGGGGTAGGAGTTGAATACCACCTGCTCTAGCCTCTGTGAAACGACTTCGGCAATTAACCCAAACAAACATGAGCCCATCGGAACCCCCTTCTTTTGCTCGTAAACTTGGCCATTTAATGTGAAGAACTCTGAAGACACTGTTTTAGGAGCTCGATAATTTGCACTCGCTTCAGTTTGTGTTCAGTCTCCTCACATTTTTCACGGAGAAGGTTGACAATGTCGATAGCCAGACTGGGTGGAATAAAGGTGAACGACGCGACCACGTCAGACGACACGATCACCTCGTCTGCGCCATATATTGAGTAGGTGCAAGTAGAACTTGTTTAGAAATGCAGTAGTCTGTCGGGAGAATTTATGGAGCTTCTAACTCAAAAAAGCTGTATAATTTCCACTGGCCACGGCCACGTCCTGTAGAGGGAAAAAACTCTGTTAGACAAAGTTAATGCGAGTAAACATTGCAGTAGTTATTGATTTATAGTAATAAATACCTATTACAGTAACATATAAATACACAAGATTAATATAAGCGGTATCGCTATAAGTCCGCTTACCGCTTCCTTGAATGGGGATAGTTGTGGGCATGCAAATTTATCGGTGAGGATACTTTGAACCTGACTGCACGTGGGCGATAATTCAACGACAAATTTTGCACCTGATGGATGGACACTGATGACACACCCAGTTTGTCCTTTCTTTATTTAGTGTGAATAAGCAGACAGTGGCCACGGCTAAGCAGATACTGTATCACAGTGTGCGCTTACGCCATCTTGGCCGTCTCCGCATACATCATCTGTATTCTGAGTAGTATGCGTTAAGCTTGCGAGTTTTTTCTCCGGACCCTTTCCAAGTATAGGTCTTAAGGCATGTTTTCTGAGCTTTTTAAACTGTAATTCGAATAAAAATAACTTTTTAGTGTATGTGTGATGTGATGTAAAGATCAAACTGGTTGTCTTGCCTTAATTCATAGGAAGTGAAATGTGATTTTCATACATATGAACATTGTATGCAGGTGCTTGCTTCGTGGGTATTTGTGACGGCGTCCACAAGACCTAACCAAAACCAGAGCATGCGAGGCGTGCGTCTTCGAGGTATTTGAGAATTGCCACCTGGGGAAGCGTTTACTGCGAATTCGGTTAATCTAGCATGCAAAAATGTACAGAAGGAAAACTAACTCATCTTCGAATTTTTACGGCTGACTGTTTTAATTGCAATCCACCAGCTATATTATCACCTATTTTGTCACCACGTCAGCGTGGTTTCGGCTCTGTCCTAAGTAGGTAACTGTTTGAAGGGGATGAATGCCTTACGGCCCCAAGAAACCAACATTACAAGTGGCCAGTAAAATTTTAGTGTTGGCTTGTAACAATCAAATCTCGTTATCAACACTATGCATAAGGCATTTTATCCCATAACATGACCAATTGCCAAGTACTTCGACTTGTTGGGTTGAAAGGCCGCTCTTACGAAACTCGTATCAAGCTATATATATCCTCCTTTAAGCTCGGTGACCAAAAGAATCCTCAGGTGTTTTTTCTTCTGATGAGTAGGATTTTGTAAGCTGCAGCCACCGAACAAACCAGAAATGCTCTGTGTGTCCGCTTCCTCTTTGTCCCATTTTAGTGTTTTGATCAATTAACATATTCTTTCTGTCTGCCTAATGGCCTCGAATTTGCCCTAAAAATAACAATTCCCGCTGTCGTCTGGCAGCAGAATGTCAGGGTAATAATGCGAGTGAACCTTCGAAGGAACAAGAAAGGCCAACTTGAAACTTCGGATTTGTTCGATTGAACTGAACATTATTGTTTTATTTTCTTCTAGTAAGTCCATTGGTACTGCTGTGTAAATGTTCTGCGCTGTTGCACAGTTGTTGAGAAAAAACATTTAAAATTGAACATTGCATTCACATACGCTCTTTGGTTTAATGATTTTATATGGCCCCTTTTTCCTAGATTCCCATCTATCCATCGGAATATCTGTCGACAGCCGTTGTGGACCCCTACAACGCTCTTCTGCACAGTGGCTTCAACATTCCCTACAGCAACCTTGTTGTCATGTTGGACAACCACGCCATCATGCAGCTTCTGTCTAGGCATCTGCAAATGGAGAAACCCACCTTCCTCTTCCTCAATCGCATGTACTCCCAGATATGCAGCTGTCTATTCTGCGGTTTCCACTTTAACGCCGACCCCACTTGTGGATCCCTGGAGGAGTTGGCCACCAACCTCGTGCCCTATCCGCAACTGCACTTCACTTTCGTGCGCTATGCACCGATCGTGGGCCTACGACGCAACGGTTTCCATGCCAGCGTCAATCCTGCCCAGGATCTCACAAGGGCCGTACTTGATCCCAATTATTCCAC